GGAGGAGCCTATGCTGGGCCATCAGATGAGTGTATGGGGTGCCACCTTGGGTCTCTAGGCCCCCAGGGGTGCTTGGATGGTTGGTGAGGAACTTTGTCTTCTTCCCTGTGTTGCAGATGAAGATGCCTTCTAAGAAGTGTGCACACATCCCTGTCTACACACTCGGCTTTGAGAGTCTTCAGAAGGTGCCAGCTACCAAAGCCACACCAATGCTGAGGAGAGATGCCTTCCAGTATGTTCTGTTGCCTTGTTGCTGGCTGGTATCCTATGGTAGCGAGGAACTGAAAATAACCAGGAAACTAGGGCAGGTGCCTATGGCACAGTGAGGATTCCTCCAAGGGACAGTCAAGTCACTTGGCAGGGCTCTGGAGGCAGCATTGTAGGGAACTGAGCTTGGGTGGTCTGGGCTCAGGCCTTCAGTGCCAGGTGAGGAAGAGCCTCTGCAGGGATGCACATTGCCAGGTGTGCTCAGTCAGACTCCTGTGGATGAGTTATGGGAAGGAGAGAAGAGGCAGCAGGCAGCTTGGAGGGGTGACTGCAGACATAAAAAGCAAGGTTTGGGATTTTGGAGTAGCAGGACAAGGCCTCTAGAGGATCCTGGCCTAAATTGGGTTCTCTCTTCTCATGGTTCTCTCCTGGCATCTCTCTATCCTAGATCCCTGCAAGGACCAAAGTGGCGGAGCGTAGAGGAGGAGTTCCCCCACATCTATGCCCATGGCTGTGTCCTGAAGGATGTCTGCAGTGACTGCACCAGCTTCGTGGCTGATGTAGTATGCTCCAGCCGCAAGAGTGTGGATGTCCTCAATGCCACTCCACAACGCAGCCAACGCAGCCGCCAGACCCAGTCCCTCTATATCCCCAACACCAGGACTCTCAACTTCCAATGACTGTTGTGATGGCCACCCTGCTCCCCATCCTGGAACACAGCTGCCATCAACCCCCTTGCGCATGTACATATATACATATATAGATATTTATAATATATATACAGCCTATATATTTATATTTATATACATTGTCTCTTTGCCCTACAGTTCATTTAGGGCCAAGCTTACTCCAGAAACCTTCCCTCTTCCTTACCTCTCAGGAATCCTTGGAAAGGCTGGAAGGGATTGGGGAATGGAGGAAGGGCAGCTTTTCTGCCCCATACCTTGGTTCTCTTCAGTAGTGAGCATACAGCAGGGTCTGTTCCCTGGGTGGACAGGGCAACTCGGTTCTCAGGTGAACCTAGGTATGAAGTCCACCTGTCCTTTAGGGTGCTCAAGCAGCAGAGGTACCTGGGAGGTCTCTGAGTGTGTGGGATTCTGCTGGGAGGAAGCCAAGCTTGCTCTTGGTCCCTTGCTAGCATCATGTGACTTTTCCTGGGGAGATATGAACGGACATCTCTTCACCCCAGATAGGTCACTACAGACCAAAGGCCCACTCAAGTCTAGCCTGATGAACCAGTGAGTTCTCTGAGATTATGGTAACACGGTGAGGGGTTACTTACAGGAACGTAAGTGACTCTCAAATAGTTGCGTCACCCCTAAGCCCCTACCCCAGCATAGGTGACAACTCATGAAAGGTGCATCGCTGTAATTCACACCCCCAGCCGATTTTCTACTTCCTATACCAAGACAATGGTGCAGCTGGGTGTGGGGGCTGTGGGGGCTGGAATCTCCTGTGGGGGCTTGGTGACCTGCTTCCTACCGGGCAGGGACTGTTAATAACCCTATAACCATTATCATAGACCTCCACATCAGGATATTGTTATTTATTTTACAGCTATGGTTGCAGGCCAGTGTAGTCTGTAGGTCAGTGCAGCTGCTCAGCTGCATGATGGTGATGGTTATGTTCATTAAACCCAGAGGCAACACCTACACCTGAACTTGGGAGGGGCCTGTGCTAAGCACCCTGCCTGCTTGCATGCGCCCAAGAGGTGGGTCTTGTCATCACCAAACCTTACAGATTAGGAAACAAAGCTTCAGTGAGGTAAAGAGATTTGACTGCTTATCTCAGAACATGCCAGAATTTCAACTGAAGCCTGTTAATTGAGGCCTCCTGGCTGACTGCAGGCTCTCACACCCCGCTTAGGACTAGAAGAAGCACCAAAGGCACGTGACTGTGACAGATGGATCTGTGGGAGTTATCTTTGAAATTAGAACACCCAATAAAAGCAGCTAGCTCCCAACACTTGTCTGAGCACTTCGTAGACTGCCTTTGTATTTTGTCTTCTAAATTTAAAAAGATATGTTTATGTTATGCGGGGTTGTTTTGCATTAATTTATGTGCACTGCCTTCGTGCAGGAGCCCAGGGAAGCTATCAAAGCGGAGTTGTGAGAGCCATGTGGGTGCCAGGAACTGAACTCAGGTCCTTGGCTTCAGCGGCAAGCACTCTTAACCACTGGGCCATCTCTCCAGCCCTTTGCTTTGTTTTAAAAGAACAGGCAGAGAGGGTCAGGAATTACTACTTTCACTCGACTAGCAATAAAAACACTCATGTTTAACTGAGTATGGAAGGGTCACATTTGTTATCCCAGCACTTGGGAATTAGAGTCAAGAAGATCATTAAGTTGAGCCTAGTCTGGCTACATAGCATGTTCCAGAGAGGTCTGAGCTATCTAGTGAACTCTCAGTCAAGAAAACCTGCCTGCTTATGTAGTGCTCTCATGGAAACTACAATTGCTGATATACAGACTCAAAAGCAGCCACATACCCAGCTCACACTCCCAAACCCGGGGGTACCCAGTTTCTGATCCCCACATAACACTTACAAATGAAAGCAATAAAGCCCATCCCGGGAAACAGCCACGCTGAGCTGAGGGGTGGTGCTAACAGGTTGTACAGTTCCCTACAGCTGCTTCCTGAGGCTGCCTAGGCAGGAGAGCAGCTTGTGCTCTGTCTTCTTACTGTCATTGGGGTTGCTGGTCTCTTCCAAACAGTGGGCTGCATATCAGCCCACGGAACCAGCCTCAGCCTCATCTATTGGAGACCGCGTCAAACAGAGTGGCTTAGAACCGAACTTTCCTTAAGGACCGATCTGCAGCAGTTCAGGGAGACACATTTGGAGCTAGTGGTTCAGGGAAGACCAACTCCCAGGCTGGGCCTGATGCATCCTTCAGTGTCCGAAACCTCTCTCGGGAGAAGCAGTTCCAGACGGAGAGCTCCCACTTTATTCATAGGTGAGGCTACCGGCCTGGGTAAGCCGGTCACATCACTTGATCATGGATGACATAGAAGCTAGCCTAGTCCTGCATAGTCAGACTAGACATGAGGCTGGTGTGCTGAGCCTGATGTGGGAGAGGCTGGGACTTATGACAGTGACAGGGGTTGGGGGTGGGGGGGCCACCTTGAGACAGCAGCGATGGGCCATCAACTTTGAAGCACCTAGCATAGTGTGGGCAGAGCAACTAAGCCAGGCACTGAGCATTCAACCTAGGGAGGAACCCTGGGGGAGGCAGGCTCATGGACAGTGGATTCACAGCAGAGTTGGAACTATGGGATGCTGCCCTGCCCCCCTTTCCTGTCCTTGCAAATAGCCTACCTTGTTTGGACTTTGGGAGTCACATGAAGGGAAACTGAGGTTCTCTCTGGGTTGCTTATTAAGTCAATTTCTTCACCTGTAAAGGGATATCTATCTCCCAAGATGAGACTCTAGAACATGCCTGGCCTGGTGCAACAGTGACGGCTGTCCCCACACCCACACTGCCCTCTTCTCTACTCTCAAGGTGGGAAAGGGTCCAACCCAACACCAGTTTATCTTACATTTGTACTTTGGAGGTCCTCAAGTCTGGCTTGTCTAGGAAATTTTTTTCAAAAGTATAAAAAACTGGGCCTGGACATGGCACAGCTTTGTAATCCTGGACTTTTC